TACCACTTGAGCCATGCCCCAGTCCCCTTGGGTGTTTTATATTTATTAAAAACATGCTCATGTTTCTATTTGTTACTTTTCAGTTTGAGATATATCATTGATCTCTCATTGTGGGATGAGGTGTCAAGTCTCTAGCCTGATCCCCTAACCACATCCCACAGACAAACTCATCCCCCATACATGTGCTCCTCCTCCACTATTCTTTCAGTGTGTTTGACAGCTTTTCGCTAAATAGTCAATGTTTATGTTGTTACAGCTCTACAACCATTATTTATACTTATATTTACATTTGTAAGTGTAGTCTCCATGTGTCACTTGTTCATCTCCAAAATCTCTGACCAAACTGAAAATCTCCAAACATGTTGATATGTGTCAGCCATTTCTTTTCTCAATTCATCAAGAGATGAACTGTTTTCCTGCCATTCCTCCTCTGCTCCCAGGGAGCCTGGCTCTTTCTTCCCCAGCCCTGCTGGCAAGCTTACATTGTGCTTCTGCTGTGACCTGGGGATCCCATTTTTATCCCTCCTGAGCATGTTCCCTATTTCCTGGGCCCTTTTTTTTTTTTTCCCATGGGACAGGGGTTTGAACTCAGAGCTTCACACTTGCAAAGCAGGCACTCTACCACTTGAGCCACACTTCCAGTCCATTTTGCTCTGGTTATTTTGGAGATGGGGTCTTGAAAACTATTTGCTGGGGCTGACCTTGAAACTCAATCCTCCTGATCTCAGCCTCCCAAGTAGCTAGGATTACAGTGTGAGCCACTGGTGCCTGGCTGGACCCTCTTTCCTGGTTTACATTCCTGTTTAAGTTGAGCACCCCTTCCTTTACCCTCCCAGAAAAGATGCATACAATGGAGAGTTTTTGTGCCTTACTTGTCTGAAAACACCATTATTCTATCATCACATAGGATTAATAGCTTTATTGGATATAGAATTTTAATTTCAAAAATATTTTTTTTCTAATTTCAAAGGCATTGCTTTGTTGACTTCAGATGTTGCTTTAGGTAGTTTGAAATCCTAATGACTGATCCTACACATGACTTACTTTTTTTTTCCTCTCTTTCTCTCTAGATTTTAGATTCTTCTATGTTTGGAATTTCATGATAAGGTGGCTTGGGGTGATCCTTTTCTTAAAGAAAACTACTGAAGAAAACTAATTATTCAGATGTCAAATTTTTTTTTTTTTTTTTTTTTGCAGTACTGGGGTTTGAATTCAGGGTCTACACCTTGAGTCACTCCACCAATCCTTTTTTGTGAAGGGTTTTTTGAGATAGGGTCTCGCATACTATTTGCCCAGGCTTGCCTCAAACTTCTATCCTCCTAATCTCCACCTTCTGAGTAGCCAGGATTACAGTTGTGAGCTACCAGCGCCTGGCAGATGTTGGATATCTTTGATCCTCTAACTTCCTTCTATTTTTGTCTTCTAATATCTGTCTCTATAAATTTCACTTTCTGAGGAAAAGTAGGACTTTTAATAAAGGACTACTTTTAAGTTTGTGCACCCCTGAAAGTCTGTATCTTGCTTTTACACTTAATTAATAATGGTTGATAGAGAATGTGGGTTTCAATTTTATTTTCCCTCAGAGCTTGGGGGCTTTATTCTGTTAGATTTCAAACAGGAACCTACTGATGCTAATGCCTTCTCATGGGGACTTCTGCTCCTTTATTAGTTTATCTGGTTTTCTCTCTCTGGAAGATTTTGCGTTTTTGTTTTGTTTTGTAAATCCTTGTTTTTAAATTTTACAGTTTGTCTCTAGGGGTGTTTTTTCTTTTTTGTTTTGGTTTTTTTAGGTTGGATATTGCTGAGTAGATCAAGTTGGCCTCACCAAAGTCCTGCCTTAGCCTCCTGAGTGCTGGGATTCAAGTCTGTTCCACATACCTCTGTGAGGAGGGGATGAAAAAAAAATCCATCTTTCCGTTAATGAGACCTCCTGGCTCTAGGAAGAATGATTCTTACCTCTGATTCTACCTTCTTCTCTACAAGGCATGTAAGGCAGGTCTCTCCATCCACTGATGGATGGTTTATCCTTCAGTAGAATTTCATGTTTTCAATCTTCAAAAAACTTCAAAATCTCTGAGCTAAATCTGCCCACCCCTTCTTCTGGTCTACATTATAGGCTTAATCTCTTTCTTTTGTGAGTCCTGTTACCTCAAGGGGGTTTTAAGAGGAAAGGAAGATAAACAACTGTATCTGTCACTTAGAAGTTTCACTTCTTTTCCAAAAATGCTCACTGATTGCTTCTAACTCAGAATGCCCAGGCCTTGCTTTCTTTTCTTTTTTTTTTTTTTAAAGCAGGACTGGGTTTGACCTCAGGCTTCGAGCTTGCAAAGCAGCTGATCTACCACTTGGGCCATGCTTCTAGTCCATTTTGTGCTGGTTATTTTGGAGATAGGGTCTTCAGAACTATTTACCCAGGCTGACTTCGAACCACGATCCTCCTGATATCAACCTCCCAAGTAGATAGGATTACAGGCATGAGCCACCGGTGCCTGTGGGCACTACTTTCTAAGTCAACTTGCAATTGTTTATATGAACCTCTACTAGAATATTCTTAGAAGGGAGACACCAGTTTTAGTGTACATCATTTTTGTGCATACCTAGAAAAAGATGGCTAATTAAAATTTTTATGCCAAAAGAAACCCAAATAGTTTTAATTATTACCGTCTCTATTTATACTTAATTATGGCATTCTCAAATAAAAATAACCAAAGCAAGACTCTTAAAAAGAAATGGAGCCATTATAGCTCATCTTGTTCATTTTTTTTCCTTTCTCATTTTTTCCCTTTTCTAAGTGGTCATTATCCCTAATTCTTTTCCCCTTCTTTTGTGATGGGTGTATTTATTTTTGTTCAAATTGCTTTCCACATACACTTTTGAAAATCATTCTAATAAGATGATTTTCATAAATCATCCTAAGTGCCTGTGGAAAGGACTCTAACACTAAGCTACTCGTTTAAAAAGATGCCAAGAGGTCTTACATACTTTGATCTTTAACTCTGAAAATAAAAACTTTTGATTCTTCATTAATCATTTAGATTACATGTTGCAGTACTGAACTGTTTCCTAGGGCTTTGCTTAAATTAATAACAAGCTTTTCAAAGCCTTTATTAAATAGTTATGTCTTTCAGCCTATGAAAAATTTTCAAGAATAGAAATAAGAAAAATTTAACTTCAACATGAAAGTAATTGGTGGTTATGCACCAAAAATTAAATGTATAAAATGAAAAATTGATTTTATGCAACTCAATTATGTTGAATGTTGTAATATATTGGAACCAAAAACACATCATAGTCGTATTGCTGTTAGTAGTCATGGTACCTACAGCTATTAATTCTGAAGGATTTTTTGCTTGTGTAAAATTTTAGTCATTCTCAGGCCAGTCTAGAAATGTTGTATTATTTTTCAAACAAGTGAAAGCGTTTATTAATGTGAACAGAAAATTTATTTACCAGTGTAAAAATTTTAAGTAACACAGGAGAGTTCCCAGACATGTCTTCAAAAATCCTGCTATACAGTGTTAAAAATAGCCTTAACATGTTCATACTGAACTCGTAGTCGAAGTTTCTAGCCTTGAAAAGATTCAAATATTTTATGATAAATTTCTGAGGAATTTTATTTTCCATAAAACAACCTTGACAGTTAAATGAATATATGACCAGAAATACTGTTGCTCTTAGCATGAAATCTGGGAACTCTTCCATCCCTTCTATGCTTGCTCTTGTCATTCTGTTGCTACATACTAAATACCATAAAATGTGTAGTTTACTTAGCTATTTGTTAATGAATAACTTTTGAATCCAAAGGAACTTTATACAGTTCAAATCTCAAACTCGATTCTCCAAAGAAAATATTCTGAAACAGGCTAAATTCACACAGTGCAGTCTTGGCAGAGTCAAGCTGATTTTCTTTTTCTTTTTCTGAAAAAAAGCTGAATCCTGTATCAGACCCTACACTGAGCCAACTGCAGAGTGACCTTGTCATCTCAGACCTTTAACCATACCACTTTTCTCCCATCATAAATAAGGAGACTAAATCTCTCTCCTTGTGTGTGAGCTCACAGCATTTGCAATGATATTACTGACTTCTATCATCAGTATCTCTGCCTTCCACCCCAAGCACAAGATGTATGCTGTATAAAAGGAGTACACACTTAACTAAACTTAGACTCTGAAAGAATACAAAAGATTATTTTATTCAGTTCAGGCTTTAGGCCTTGGAAATAGTCTTAGATATGAACAACTGTTGCTCTAGAACAACCATTTAACTTTCCTCTTTTGATAGTACTGGGTCTTGAACTCAGGGACTCATGCCTGCTAGGCAGACATTCTATCACTTGAGCCACTCCACCAGTTCTGTTTTGCATTGGGTTTTTTCAGAATAGAGTCTCAAGAACTATTTGTCTCAGGCTGGCTTTGAACTGTGTTCTTCCTGATCTCTGCCTCCTGAGTAGCTAGAATTAAAGGTGTGAGCCACCAGCACCTGGCTTGACTGATCTTTTCAATTAACAAAAGAAAATTTCTTCTTCATTACACAATGTTTTTAGTATGGCTGTTGGTTTTTCATTACAAAATGCTTACTGAAGTTTTAAATTTGCCCTGTGGAAAATGACTTGCTTAAAGTTATCACTTCAGAATTTATGGGATAACATATGTGTAACCGTGTATAAATGAATACATTCTTTAAGCGAGAAGCTTTTAAGAGATTATGGAATATGGAATATAGAGAAAGACTGCAAGATTCAAAGCACGGATACCCTTAAACAACAACTTACCAAAACCTGGATCACATGTAGTAATTATAGTGTAGATAGACATATTCGGTGACTGCATGGAAAGACAAGGACATAAACCCACAGAGGTTTTAGGGTTCATCTTCAATTTAGTAAATAAAAGTAAAGATCCTGTGCTCCTTGAGAACCACCCCCTCAATTTCCTCTCTCAACAGCAGAGGGTGCCCAGGAATTTTGGTCAAGTAGTTTTGAAGGTTTCTGAAGCATTAAACACAATTTAACAATATCTAGCATGTTTACAAACATATTTTGAAACAAATTTTGAAATTTCTTGGCAATCTATATAAAAATGAAACTGTGCACAGCTGGACATGAGCACTGGTCTACTCGCCGGACTTTTTTCCAGGTTCCTTGACACCGAGGATTGCCAATAGCTTGCCAGTAGAGAGTTTCATTTCTGAAATGGTATTTTGGACATGTCAGTAACACTAAAAGCAAATGGAAGAAAACTAACAATTATAATTTGAAGGTTTGGTTTTTTTACAAAACAACAACAAAAAACTCATACAGAGTTGGGTTTTTTTGTTGTTGTTGTTTGCAGTACTGGGGTTTGAACTCAGGGCCTACACCTCAAGCCACTCCACCAGCTCTTTTTGTGATGGGTTTTTTTGAGATAGGGTCTTGCAAACTATTGCCTGAGACTGGCTTCAAACCACAATCCTCCTGAGTTGCTAGGATTACAGGCGTGAGCCACTGGTGCCCAGTTCATAGAGAGTTTTGAAGTACATTACAAATAAAAATTTTAAAAAATTATTACAAAGAGGGTTTCTTTTCCTTATGTCCTATCAAGGTAGGCTAGGGCACTCTCAGGCTGAGGGTGTTGTTTGAGGTTATTGCATCCATTTCTCCTACTTGATCTGAATACTAGCACTACAAAAAAGAAAATGGCATTTCGTGTATATTTAAATTAAGAGTCTAAACCAAATGATCTCTTTCATTCCTTTCCAACTCTTTGATTTTATAATAAAAAAATGGGAGAAGTAGAAAGAAAGCAATGCCAGACTATTCAAATTATTATTTTTAGAATCACTAGTACCTTAGCCAGGGTTTAAATGCTTTCTTTATTGGGTACAAATTGAATTATAAACTCATTTAAAATCAAAATATGGATGAGGTATTCAGAAAAGTATTAAGCCTAAATATTAAGTTTCATTTGATAGGCATTCCTCACCACTTTATTGTTCCTATGGTGTGCTCAATAGAGGCTGCTAGGCACGAGTGACTAATAAGCAAAAATTCAAATTATTAAATATTAAAAACTATAATGGGAATAATGATTAACTGGAAAGGTCAACATTTTACTTTTTAATCACCATTTTTACCAGTTCCACCTGACCTACTAAAAACCATAATCCATGAGTGACCTAACTTGGTCCTTGTGGTTCAGTGTGAAGTTGACTCCTCTCTTAGTTATGAATGACGTTATGATATTTATCTTATAAATAAATGAAGAACTGGGATAGTTCTGCAGGTGTGGCAAAAAGAATTGGAGGGAGCCAATTCTTTCAGAAAGACCTATAGACTTATACAGGGTTATCATCCTGCAGAGCTGTGCCTACCACTGTCTCAGGCATGATTTCATGAAAAAGCCCTGCTGTACAGTGGAACTGAAACAAGACTATAGGTTTGAATCACCTGGAAAGGGGTAGCAAACTGACCCCTTTATAGGCCAAATCCAGCCCACACCTTCTTTTTATGGACCCTAAGTTAAGAATGAATTTTAAGTTATCAAGAGTTTTAAAAAAAATCAAGAGAATAACAATATTTCATGACACATGAAAATTATATGAAACTTATATTTTAGTGTTAAAAAAAGGTTTTGTTAGTACAAAGCTGAGGTTTACATGTGCTGCTTTCATTCTACAATGTCAGTAGTTGAGTTCAGTTATTGACATAGAGGCATATGGGATGCAAAGCCAAAAACATCTATTCCCTGGCATTTTATAGAAGAAGTTTTCTGCCTTTAACCTAAGAGATGATTAAAAATCCACCCCCAAAAAACTGATTCAATTGGTCTGAAAGTGGACCTGGAATTTGCATATTTTTAACCTGCATCCCAAGATGGAGGTGGGCTTCAGAATACCACTTTGGGGCAATCAGGTCTTTGGTGGTCACTTGTAAGCTTCATCTTGAACCCAAGTATCCATATTGACCCCTGCAATTCTGGTACAGAGAGCCTAGACAGATGGTTCTCCTTACTGCCAAACTTGTCTTGATAGGTTCCATACTGGTCAGCTGCTCAGGACACAGAGAGGACAGAACCTCAGAGTGAGTAACCAGAAAAATTATTTGATCAGTTAGTTTCCCTCACTTACCCATCAGAGTCCAGGCCATCTCCCGAACAACGAAGGCTCACAGCATTCATAGCTGGAGGTTGACAGTCCACACACACCGTGTATCCCTCCCGGAGATACTGCATCCACCGAGTCAGGGGCCGGTTTTCCAGAGCACAGTGAGGAGTCAGGGACTCCGTCTTGAACTCCATACAGTATCTAAAACAAAAGAAGTAATGATTTCATTTGCAGTCACAAGTGGCCTAACGCTGTTCAGTCTTAGCCAGGGCATCCAGCATCCTGGAGCAGGGAGGGGTCACATCTCCACAAACTTTACATTCATCACAGAAAGTCTTTGAAACTTTTCAGTCACCTAACTATGATGACACATGAGTGACAACCCCAGAGAACCTATTTTTGCTCTTTATAAATCTGTGATTGAATTAACTGGTCAAGCATGAATTTTCAGATTTGATACCCTGTTTACTAACAGATTAAGAATGTGTATAATCAGACTAACAAATTGTGTATAAAAGCATGTATTTTATAGGAAATTAGCCCTTAATAGCTTTTCAAATACTTAAAAGAATTATGTAAATTGAACAAGTACTTGCACAAGCCTGAGAACCCTTCAATATGACCCAGGAGGACTTGTCCTTGACACCCAGGCTAGGACCTGTGCTTTCTGTTCCATGAAAGTTGCCAGGGGCCTTCCCTACACCCCCCACCCAGCCCAGTGCATGATCTTGGGTCATGTCAACGTGTCTTGAAGTCAAGCATCAAAGTTGCATCAGACATCATGGATGAAAGCAGAAATGGGAAGCTGAGGTATGTTTTTCTATGACAGGTAGGTGTCACATTATACTGGAAAACATGTTAACATTATATGTGACTAGATTCTAAAGGCCTCAGGGGAGCATCAAGACATTGGTGAAGCTGGTGGAGTAGCTCAAGTGGTAAAGCACCTGCCTAGCAAGCATGAGGCCCGAGTTCAAGACCCAATACTGCAAAATAAATCAATAAATCACTAAAATAGACATGGGTGAATATTTAAAAGCTTGGTATACTTAAAAGCAACACAATTATCTAGTTCTCCAAGGAAACAAAACACAATAAAAATCCTGAGTGTTGTAAAAGAAATTTATTGCATTTACAGTTCAGCAGGCTAATTTCTTATCTGTTGAATTATGAGTTATAATAGATTAAATGGAAAATGTCTGGGGATTCTGCTACAAAGATCTGTAGCCATGGTACTATTCCTTTACTGAAGGAGGAGATTCTACAAGGCAGCTTCAATCAAGGAGACAATCTGGATATCTCTGCAATGCTTTTTCTCATTAAATGTTCACACCAACCCCATGTGGCTGGTATTAATATTCTCATTTTTTAACTACCAAAAAACTTGAGCTGGAACAACTCATAACTTGTGAGTGGGACTGAGTGGGAATATCTGAATGTGCAGTCATTTGGTCCCTTTGTCTGATGGAAGAAGAGTGAGTCTCAAATGAGCATGGAGAAGGCCTTCCAGCCTATGCCATGAGGTTTCAATAAGAAGTCCTCTGAGTTGATTGTGTGCCACTTTCAAATTCATTAAGCAGACATGATGCTGGAGTCTGTGGTTCCATAAAGACTATCAGAGGAGCACCCTTAGTGTGATCAGTCAAATAATACCTCAGTTTATATAGTTTGTTTCTTCTTGGAGATCAGACTTGGAGACAGATAAATCTTTAGTGTCCCACACAAATGGTGAGGACAAGTACTTCTCAACTCTGTGATGAACTAATGTTTTACCCAAAGTTAATGAACAAATAACAGAAGAAAAAGGAGTCAAACCAAGTTCATGCTTTCATCTGTAACAAACTTGACTATATGACTGGAAAAACAGAACAATTTAAGCAACGCCAAATTACCCGGCATCCTCTGTGTGGGTAGACCACTGTGGAGACGCAACTTGTCTTGTTCTCTCCTTGTTGAATGCAGAGGTAGTTATAAAGGCAGGGACTGGAAAAGGGAGAATTACATTGAATTCACACAACCAAAGTACTCAGAGCAAGGTTTCCCAAACTTGGTTTCATGCCAGTATAAAGGCCTCCATTTCTAAATCCAAGGACCTTGGCATGCCATCGATGAGTGAAATAAGGCTAAGTTATGAGGTCTGCAAAACCAAATTGGCTAAAGATTCATGTGCATGCAGATGAGTCAAGGAGGGAATGCAAGCTCTGACAAGCACATTTGTCTGCAATAATAAAACTATGATAGGAAGGAGAGGGGCCAAAGAGAGAAAAGAGGATGGAAGGAGAGAAAACAGGCAATGAGACAGAAAATGAGAAAGACAAAAACAGAAGTGTGTGCACCCCCAAGTCTCTTGGTAACCACAGTCTGGAAGCTGTGCCACTGTGTGACTGCCCAGCGCAAGCCAGCACAACAAGTCCCCGGATGCAGCAGACCCCTCCCTTTCCCTCTCCTCCCAATCCTACCCCAACTCTGCCACTCTGGATCAGAGAAAACAAGGAGCAAGGAATTCTTCCGTTCTTCCTCCTACCTTCTCTCTCTCTCTCTCTCTCTCTCAACTAGGGTCTGAACTCAGGCTTCTAGCTTACAAAACAGGTGCTCTCCTTCTTGAGCCACAACTCCAATACACTTCTGATCTCTTTATTTTGCTTTGTTTTTGTGTCTCATCCCTACATCTAGGGAGCCATCTGTAGCACCTATAGGTAACCCCTTCCTTCCAGTCTACTGTCAGTGCAAGGAAGCAGGATTTGCCTTGCTCATTATACCCCTTACTCATTTACACACCCAACAAATAGTTGTGCAGTAAGCGAATGGGCCAGTGAGTAAGCAAATGAAGTCACAGGATGGCTACCAAAACACAGAAGTCCTCCTTCCCTGTGGTCTTCTGTTCCTATACAGCCATCCTTCTTTACCTTGTGAGGACCCCTACCCTCTGCCCACACAGAGGACACTAAAATCCTTAAATGCTCAAGTCCCTTAAATAAAATGTCATAGCATTTGCATAATCTATGCACATCCTCCAGTACACTTTAAATCATCCCTATATTACTTATAATCCCCAGTACAATGTAAGGCTGTGTAAACAGTTATGATTCAGCATTGTTTAAGGAATAAAAATAAGAAAAAAATCTGTGCATATTCAGTACAAACAAAATTTTCCCCCAAATATTTTCTGTCTTCAGTTGATTGAATCTGCAGACACAGAACAAGTGGGTGTGGAAGGCTGACTGTACCAAGCCTCACAGCTGAGATGGCGTCACAGTTCTTCCTACCCTTTGTTTCAGAAACTGGACAATCCTGGGAAAGGTGGGGTCAAGCAGATGTTGCCTGGGAGATGTCAAAGCCATCATCACCATGAGCAAAGTGAGGTGAGGCCACCAGTTGCAAAGAAGATGCTTCCAGCCTGCATGTGGGTTTTAACTGTCTCCTCACTGCCACAAGATGGCAGACCTTCATTCTTTTTTAGATTTTTCTTAATGAAGAGTCATTTTGATATTACTGGGGACTACAAGCCAAGAACAGCCTAACACCAGGTTGCCTCTTGCTGCCACAAGTTGTAGGTACAGCTCTTGTCTCCTGTGGTTTGGTGTATCTAATTTTTGCAGTATGAAAATTATCCACACCTAGAGTAAACCCTGGAGTCCTGGGTTGCCAAGGCTTTCTTGTTGCACTGACATGTTTAATTGTTTTCCAAACAGAGCATGTCATGCTTTCTAAATGTGATCACAGCTTTTGCATTTCTAAAACTCAGAACTAAGAGAAGTAAGTGAGTGCATATATCAGATTCTTCTGTTTCTCTAAGACCCGATGATCAGAAACAAAACATCTAAAGGATTTTAGTCTTTCCATATGTTTTCATTTCTTTTGATATGCTTATGTGTTTATTCACTAGGTGAAGAATAATTTAGTGCTAAACACAAGTCAGACTACAAAATGTCCAGGATATTTCTTTAGCTCAAAGCATCTATGTGATCTTCTCATTTATACTGCATGTACCATTAAAAAGTTCAAAGGGAAGATACTTAATGTTACAGCTCAGAAAAAAATGAGATTAGGGGCTGGCAGAGTGGTTCAAGTGGTAAAGTGCCTGCCTGGCAAGCATGAGGCCTTGAATTCAAACCACTGTACTGCCAAAATAAACAAACAAAAAAAAACAAAAGCAAGAGAAGTGAAATAAAAGCCTCAGAAAAGGCTTAGGAAGTGAAACAAAAGCCTTAGAAAAGGTTCTACAACAACAAAAATAAAAGCTAACAATTATGATGCACTTCCAAGTTTCAAGGCACAGTGCTCAGTCACTTTTCATGTATTTATTAATTTCATTCTTACAGCTACCTTCAGGGATAGATTTCATTATTTCCCCATGTCACAGATGAGCAAACTGGATAGAGAGGTTAAGAAATGTGTTCAGGCTGGGCACAGTGGTACACACCCATTAAGTCCCAGATATGTGGGAGGCACAGGTAGGAGGATCTCCCTCCCAGGCCAGCCCCAGGCAAATATCTGAGACCCTAACTGAAGAACAACTAGAGCAAACAAAAGAGCTGAGGCATGGCTCAAGTGGTAAAGCAAGCTCAAGCTGTTAAAAATCTAGTGCCACCAAGAAAAAAAAGAAAAGGAAGGGGAAAATTTTAGCCCATTATAATCTGAATTCCCATCAGGCCCTGCCAGAGGGGTAACAAACCAGCTAGAGTGGGCACAGGCTGACCCTGCAGCAATATGGCCCCTGTGTTTTCATAGCCTGCTCATTTATAGAGTAATTTCATATCATCTGTGCTCATTCTTCACAAAAAAAAAATTGTAAAGAGGTGTTATACCAATTTTAATTCATCAGAAAACTGAGCCCCATAGAGGCTACATGGACGGAAAATAGCAAGAAGATGACTGTGCCAGGTTTCCAAACCAGAGGGCACTTTCTGCTTTTCGGAGTTCTCCATATTCAGTTTCTGTGCTCTGTGTCTGTGGTCTGTGGGTCTGGTGTATCCTAAAAGCCAGCCAGTTGCTCAGTTTCCCTTCCCAACCCCCACATCCCTGGGGTTTGGATCTGTGGTACATTCTACGGCGAGGCCATTCTCCCCACCTACTCCCCCCACCTACTCCCCGCCCCCCACTCTCCCACAGACCAGGAGCCAGATCGCCTGGAGCACTCCAGATCACAGTCACTATTTAACATGCCCCGCGAATTTAATTTTCACTACTTAAGAGTGGCAAATCATTTAGAAATAACTTTTTACCTTCAGTCCCATGTCTGTTTATGTGTGGAAGCACGTAGCTGATGCCCCAGGACAATGGCTCTCCATAAATGTTAGCTCCCCTTCCTTTCCCCTTCCTGGCACCAATATTCAAATGTAATATAGTCTTTGTTCACAGGCTATTTGCCAGCTTTTCTGGCAATCTAAGAGCCTACCATTGTTTGGTTTTACAACAACTTCCATTTTAAAAAAGCATGGCACTGCACATATTTCCTTTGAACATGAAAGTAAATTAAATTTGCTTTGGGAATTTCATAAGCCCTCTGACACAATAGGGTGTCACAAAAGCAGGCTTAGAATCACTGCTCTGCAGATGCAGTGCAGAAGAGAATAAAATGGAAATTCAACAACACCTCCTGGAAGCATCCAGTTTATAATAGTGCACACTGACCTTGAGGAGAGAAAAATGCATATATGAACATCAGTAATGTGCAATAAATTCAACAGTTCAGCCATTTACATTCGTTTTTGTGATAAAATCTAACCATATGCATTAACTGAAATAAGAAAAACTCATTAACAAGAAAGCTTCAATGGTCCACTGGCTTCCTAGGGCCTTTATAGTTCTACTTGGTTGCCAGAATCTGTAATTAAAATTTTAGCTCTAATGATGACACCTAACAGCAAAACAGTATGCAGGAGGGAAAATCTCCACAGAACTTGCAACCAGGAGATTCAGGTTTACATTCTGGTAGTTCTTCACAAGTTCTGCCACCTCCCAGAACTCTAATGTACTCTTGTGTAAGCCAAGGACCTCGTTCGTTCTACTCCTTATCTTGATAAAACAGAATGGCCAAAGATACCCATGTCCTAATCCCCAGAACCGGTGAATATGTCACATTACATGGCAAAGAGAAATGAGAGTTATGGATGGAATTAAAGTTGCTATTCAGTTGAATTTAAAATAAGGAAGATTTTCCTGGATCTTCCTGATGGGCCCCTTGTAATCATGGGGCCTTCAAAGAGATCAAGTCAGAAGGTGATGTGACTATAGATGAAAAGAACAGAGAGATGAAATCAAGCTGGCTGTGAGATAAAGGAAGGGCCATGAAAGAAGGAACGTGTGAGGCAGTGGATTCTCCACCTGAGCCTCCATGAAGGAAAGCAACCTTGCTGACACCTTGACTTTAGCCCAGCACAACCCATGTCAGACCTCTGACTCACACAACTGTAAGATAATAAATTTGTGTTGCTCAGGTCACTTAGTTTGTGGTAATTTGTTACCTCTCGCTTTCTGAACTACTAAAAGGTTTTACAGCAGTATCCTCAGTATTTTTCTACAGAACCTGCTCATCAAACCTTGATTCCATTAGGATTAAACATGTTTTCCCTCCATCTACATCTTGTTACTTCTCTATGACAAGTAGCAAGAAGAAACCAGGTTGCACCTTTAACACTTTGCTTGGAACGCTTCTTAGCTAAATATCCAAGTTCAGCTCATGTCTTGCAAGTTCCACTATCTACATAACTGGAGGATACAATCTGCTCTGCTTTCTGTCTCTGAATATCAAGGACCCCTTTTATCTATACAAAGGCAAGGACATGGGTTCCCTCTAGCACCTATAGAAAAGAACAGAGTCTGCTGACACTCTGATTTTAGTCCAGGTAGACCTGTGTTGAAATTCTCTCCCATAGAATTATAAAAGATAATATTTTAAGCTTTTAAATTTGTGATAATTTGTTACAGTAGCTGTGGAAAACGAATACATTTCCTTGTAGGGTTGTTATGAAGACAGAATCAATAATATTGATAAAAGCTCTCTGCCATGCAAATGTGAGGGGTGAGTATGTACTGGGATTAAAAGGCTGACGGGAGTGCAGGGAGGAAGTAACAGGCACACAGGTGACAAAAACTGGAGTGACAGCCCCCAGATTGCTCCCACACCCACCTGCACATCTTTCCACCACATTGCTCATCACTCTGAGTTATAAAGAGCTGTGATACACTTATTATTCAAGTTTGGATTTCCAAAACCTAGCACACTGCTGGCACACAGAAGTTGAGTTAATGAATCACATAAATGAATGCACAGTAACTGGAGTAAAACAAACTGGAGGCCTGAAGAACCACCGGATTGGACACTCTTGTTACTGTCTCTCATTTCCCTCCAGCTTTCGTTAGCTGTCCATCATTTTCTCAAGTGTATTCCATAATTACTAGTGACTTTAGTGAAATTCCCCTACGAGAAAACGTTCATCCAATCAAAGTGGGAAAACACTCTCTTGTACAGTGTCATGCATATAGCATCATAACTTCTGAAAAGTTCTTCAGTACAGAAAACTAATCCTCTGTTTTTGCACACTATTTTATAAAAGAGGATGCACTTTGGGAACTTTTGCCAGCTGTGACACAGACAGGGGTGTGTGTCCCTGCTTAGGCTAGAGCCAGCAGTTCTCAAACTCCAGTGAGAACCGCAATCCCTAGAGGCCTTGTAATGACAGTCCACTCGCAGCGATTCTGAACCTATGGCTCTGGGTGGCACCACAGGAACTTGTATTTCTAACAAGTCCCCAGGTGAGGAGGATGTGGCTGGTCCAGAAGCAGTGTTAGGAACCACTGGACTGGAATACTCAAGGAGTCCTACAGTCCCCTCCACCAGGTTGCAACAGGAGTCACCATTGCCAAGACATCCCCAGAGGGAAGGAAACTCTTGGGAACAAAGTCAGGGCTAAAAATGGGGAGAATTCCTTTTCTTTCCAAAATTGGAGATTGATATTTTATGTTAGTAGGAAAGGAGACCAAGTCCAGATCTCTCCTGCCAGTGTTAAACCAGTCATTAACAGCTTTCCAGCATGTGAGAAGAGGACTGCTTGCTCCATCAAATTCTATTAGTGAACTGTAGTGACAGGATCAGGAGGAGTAGTAATTTGGGAACATCTGGAGGAGGGCAGGTCAGCCAGAGGAGAGAGGAGGGACATCTCCAGACAGTGAGGAGTCCCTCAGGGGCTGTGTGGGGCCAGATTTACCCACACTGTCCCTGGTATCAATGATAATCACGTTCCCTGGCGCCTTTGGCCCATGTGCCATAGCATCCTCTTGACCTTCCTGCAGCATTGTCCTGTTGGAAAGAGAGCCAGGGATGGGAAAGAATATGCCACAGCCTGCGGCAGCACTCAAAGGCCTAATGTCCTGAGGAAACACTTTCTACAGCCAAACACCGTAAAGAAGAAGAGTGGATACTTTTCCTGAGTTGACCCTCAATTTAAGAGCCACCAAAAAAATCAATAATGTCCTACGGCAACCACCTCCCTGAACCTGTTCTGTTGTGTTTCTGCAGAGCACCTGAGCTGAATGTGATTGTGCTGTATGACTGCTTCTGTGAGCAACCACTTGGAAGCGATAAATTATTTTTCTGTGAGCTTAATGAGGCCTCCCACCACCCTCCACTACAGAGTGATTCTTTCCAATCACAGATGTGAGTATAATGGCCCCTGCAGAAAACACCTCAATGGCTTTCTAGGGCTCTTCAGGAAAATATCAGAATCCTAAATAGGGTGCCCTCTGTGATCCCATACAACAGCCTTCTTTTGGGTTCTGAAATGGCACTTGTGCTTCCCCAGTGTTATACAGCCAAGCCACAGATGGTCCCTAGCTCAGCTATGTCCTCATTACAGGTTGAGATCCTTTAGCTCAAAACCCTTTGGCACCAAACTCAAATTTTTACACATGTAGTTGTTTTTAAAATAGCCAAACAAGCAGATTTTTAGCCATGTAGGGCCTGCCTGCTTTGCATACCAGTGACCCTATACCCAGGACCTACTGGCCATTGATAAGGCAGAGCCTCATGCTCCTAACACACCAGCTGCCACTGCCCTCCATAGTTCTCTGATCCAGAGACTCCCACCATGCTGCTAGGTGTGGTCACCTACATGCACAAAGCCCCTCTTCAATCTCTTCTATCTTGGGAGGTCCTGTGCCTTCCTCTCCTTCTGGATGGTATTCCTACTCTCTCCCCAGCCAAGCCCACCATAAACATCTGGACAGCCTCGTGCTGTGAGGACTTCCCCTTTCATGTCACCCTGTCCAAGCACTGCCCAATAAGGTCTGCTGTGCTACTGCCCCTAGTGGTCATGTCTTTACCCTTGAGCAGCCCTCAAGCCCCTTAAGCCCCCTACAGCTGACCATCGGGTCTAACCACACTGCTCTATCTGTCCTGGCAGCTCTACATCTCTCAGTCCCCTCTCCAGGGAAGCCCTGCCCCAAAACCAAGAAGAATCACCTTAGATACTTGCACAGAGTTCCATGGACTGCTCACTCACTTACTACCAATTGTATCCATTACCACACCTATAAATTTGATGATTGTGTCCCCCTCCCACCAGACTATGGTCTATACGACTGCAGGCATCACATCACCTTTTCTCCCCACTGTAACCCTGGCACCCAACCATGCCTGACATCAGGCTCGCTCTCAATACATAAATATTTATATGTGGAATAAAAGATGGAACAAAATGGCTTGATAAAAATTATATTGACATGAAATTTTCCACATTTCTACAAAACACATGGTCTTTGCTATCCTGAGATGTCATTGTTTTGCCCTGTTGGATTCAATCCAGATCAACACATTGGCTGGCATTAGCTTTTGATTTCTTTCTTTCTTTTTGGTGGGACTGGTATTTGAACTCAAGGCTTTGCACTTGTAAAGCAGGTGCTCTACCACTTGAGCCACACCTTGAGTCCATTTTGGTCTGGTTATTTTGGAGATGAGGTCTCTGAAACTATTTGCTAGGGCTGGCCTCAAACCACAATCCTCCAGATCTCAGCCTCCCAAGTAGTTAGGATTACAGGCTTGAGCCACCAGTGCCCAGCTCATTTATTTCTTTTTGAAGGATCTGTGGAGATCCTAGCTCATTAGTGAGACAGCTTCTTGCCCCTTCATAGCAACTCCAAACCAGAGCCATCTTCTCTTTCTTCTTCCTTTCTCCTTTCCTCCCTTCCTTCCTTTCTTTTTCTAAAATTCAATCTGGCTATGTTGCTCAGGCTGGCATCCAACTCTTGGCCTCAAGCTATCCTCCTGCCTCTGCCTCCCAAGTAGCTGGGACGACAGGTGTGTTCACCACTGCACCCAGCCAGAACAATTGTTTCCACCCAGTTTCAAAGCTGACCACAGCAGCCCTAGTTCAGTCAGCCTGAAAGGAGAGGTCCGTGCTTAAACCATTGCATCATTTCATTTAGAAATTTACCATTTTCTACCATTTTTCGCGTTTGTGAGTGTACAGTAGTAGTGTGGAAATTAAAATTCCCATTTGGGCTGGAGTGACTCAAGTGGTGGAGAGCCTACCTAGCAAGCAGGAGGCCCTGAGTTCAAACCCCAGTACTTCCAAAACGAAAACAAAAAAATCCCGTTTAACCAGGAATCACAGTAGAAGTGAGATACTTACCATGGCTGGACTTTTCCTGTGAACTACCCTATGTAAGCCCTCTATGGACTGCATGACTGATGCAGTGAGGCCCACATGATTGTGAGGGCTGGGGAGCAGCTCAGTGACAGAGCCTTTCCCTCGCATGAGAGAGCTGAGAGACAGGGGGCGGGTGGAGGGGCCACATGCGTGTGGTTTGTTTTATTACTGAGTCCATGCACAATGGGAACGGGTTTAAAACCCACACAGACGGAAGGGAGGGACAGGTAGGCGTTTGTGCAGCTGGCCATCAGTTCCTCTATTAAGCACTTCCTGACCTCCCCACCTACTTCGGGCGGACCGGCCCATCCCACGCCTGCACTGAGTGGAACTTTCCCTGCACAGCACATGGCCTTTTACGGAATGCAGTGGCCCAGAAGTCATCAAAGATATCAGAGGCAGAACCGTGAACACACGAGTGAGTACCGAAGGCGTGCCCGCAGTCCCGGCCCCGCGACGTGGAGTACTCCAGGCAGCCGGCTCTCTCCTCCAGCGGCGGGCAGGGCGCCCCGCCGTTCTGCGGCTCCTGCCGCACCGCGCGTCTGCGCACGCGCGTCGTTGGCCGGCACTGGCCCGCGCAGCCACTCCAGCGGCTCCACTCCCCCACGAAGCACGGCCGGGCTGCAAAACAGCACAACAGGTGCTCACCTGAGTGAACTTCCCGCCAACACAGACCGCCAGATTAGCCCGTGCAGACTTCACCTGGAGAGGGCCCCGTATCAAGGGGAACACAAAGCCCCAGCAGGTCCCCTTGACAGGAACTCCACCCGCGATGATGGTTAACTGACTCTCAGACACCTGTGAGAGGAAGGTGGCTATCCCGGGATCTCTAAGCCAGGAACACACACCCAGTGGAGTCCTTCGGGGTGTCCTCCTCATACTTGCAGAGATCTTTGCTTCTATTCTGTCCTTGATATTAACTTTCTGCCGCTGTTCATAATATTCTTTTCCGTTTCGTATCATTTATTTCACTTACACATCTTTACGGGGTGCGGTGTAATATTTAAATACATGTAAACAATGTGTAATAATCAGATCAGGGCAATTGGCATGTCAACCACCTCAAACACTTGGCATTTCCTTGTGTGGGAACTTTCAAAATCTTCTCTACTAGCTGTTTTGAAATATATCATTTACTGTGGCCATCCATCGGCTCCCTACTGTGCTACAGAATATTAGAAGTTATTTGTCCCCAACTGCACCCCTATGCCCGGTAGCCATCCTCTCTCCATCCCCTCTGCGCCCCTCCCGCCAAGAACATTTTTATTATAACAGTAATACACAGTCCTTGTAGAAAGCAAAGGGGAAAGAACTGTAAGAAAATGTACTTGACCCACCGATAATCTCATCACTTACTCAGGTCAGTTCTCAGCAAATGCATGCCCATAAGCCACAAGGCTCAGGACCACACACAGGGTCCCCTACACTTTAGGCTTCTCCCACTTGCTCTCTCATCTTCCATGGCTTCTAGACTCATCAGCCATGAGAGCCAGGGTTTGGAGATGAGCAGCCAGGGCTCAGGGAAGTAAAGCGCACTCTCAGTCATGCGTGAAGAAGCAGCGTCACTGCAACACGCTAGATGCGGTCCTAAGGTTTGGTTCTCTTGGCCTGCGCCCCTCACACATTTGGTATCAAGACCGCAGACCTCGGAGTTTAGCTGGCTTCTAGCAGCCAGCCATGTGCTTGGCGGCTCTCTGGAGTCCAGCAATATGTCTTAAGATTCACCTGATAGACAAGACATGGCAATCTCTCATTGATTCCAAAGGCCACTTACCCAATCTGTAGATGGAAGTTAGAACTGCGATGTCCTCACCATGACTATAAAACCAATTGGCTTCATGGCGAACTCTCCCATTCAGGATTCTAGTGAATCTTTTAAAAGCACTGTAATGAGTTATTTTGTAACTTTATCTAATTATTAGCTTGAGACAGGGTTTTACTTATGTTACCCAGACTAGTCTTCAACTCCTGAGCACTGGGATTATAGGCATGTGCTACCCTGCCAGGCTTTATTGAGTTTTTAGTTGATTTGGGGGATGAGGGACGATACCGGGGTTTGAACTCATGACCTCATGCTTGCTAGTCAGGCTCTCTACCACTTGAGCCACTCTGCCAGCCCATGACAAGTTTTTAAATTGAGTTATTTCTGGACTTTAAATAAAATATAAGAGGAAAAAAAACAAACAAATAAGACAGGCTAAACATGGATGCTCACAACTGCAATCCCAGCTACTCAGGCGTCAGAGATCAGGGAGGATCATAATTCAAGCCAGCCTGGGCCAAAAGCTAGCAACACCTCATATCAACAAATAATCCAGGTATGGTGGTATGCATCTGTCAATACAACAAGAGAGGTTTAAATAGGAGGCAGGCAAAAACTCAGATCTTTTCCAAAAAATAACTAAAGCCAAAAGGGCTGGGAGCATGGCTCAAGTGATAGATCACCAGCTTAGCAAGTAGGGAGGCCCTGAGTTCAAACCCCAGTATTGTAAAAAAATAAATATACTAGATTCTAAAACTTTCTTTTCCACAAAGTGAGACCGACGTTTTCTCTTACCCTCATACTTTCAAGTTCATAATGTCTTCTGTAGGAAATCCCTCTGACTTTTGAAACCTTGATTTGGACTCCTGGCAGTTCCATGTAAAAACTCATTTTATCTCTCAGCACAGTCTAGTTTAGGGTACATGGTTTGGAGAGGACACATTTGGCTGCACACAGCTTACCCCTGACACAAAAAGGGTCACAACATAAACATGTCAGTAATTAAAATTTTTCAATACTATGTTAAGCCTGCTTTCATTCATTTCAAAACTCATACGTATCATGTCTCCACTACTTAGGTAGCAGCAAGAATGAGTCACATTCGTATTCATTCCCATATCTGCCACACATAAATCCTCTGGAAAATCAGTAACAGGTCACTTCCTGCTCTGTTCATCTCCTACTGACCCCTTCCTTTTTATTTTCATGACACCATTATTTCATTGGTCCACTGAACCAGAAGGTATTTTAAAAGCTTCCCAGGCTGGGAGTTAGCTTGAGATGGACTCCTTCTATCTTTAATTCTTTCAGTACCTTGCTTTCTCCCTCAGACCTCTTTATCCTGAGTCTAGCTAGTCCTGCTTTTAGAAACGACACCTAATAAATGCATTTGTTTCAAATATTAGTATTTGTACATCACTGTAAAATAAAATGTACTATTCATTAATTAAAATTTAGTAATATAACTTTGGGTTTGAGAGCTTTCAAACTGAATTTAGCCTTTTAGGAATTCTTCAATATATGTGTCTTTTGCCCAATATTTCCTTATCTTATTCAGTTTGGTCTCATTGTTGAAATCCTCACAATCGCAAACTCATTGCATCAATTGTAGTTCTTACTGGCTAAGATTTGTCCTTGGTAAAAAGCTACTTCCAGTTTTTCCAATCCATGACTTTAAAAGCCACGTCAAGCCAGCTGCAGTGGTCCACCTGCAGCCCTAGCTACTCAGGAAATTGAGGTGGAATAATCACTTAAGCCAGGAGTTTGAGACTAGCCTGGCAATATAGTGAGACTCCATCTCAGAAATAATATAAGATAAAAACAATCAGAAAGTTCTAGGGTCCAGAACAAAGACAGCTCCATGAATTCATTGTAAGATAAAATGGGAAGAAATTCACAGACGTATGTGAATAAAAGGGTGTTCCATAAAATATTTTGTATTAGAACATTAATCTCAGGTATTTTTCCTCCTCCACACCAAAGATTTTAATCTTGATTTACTTAGGAACTTTTGATTGTTTGGCTTGGAAGCCATCATGGATCACAAGAGATCACTAGTCACAGAGTTAGGGGAAATACAGGAATTTCTGACAGATTTATTGCCACAAGTCACGTATTACTGCTGCATGACACACATTTCCTTTTGAACTATTCCATTAGTGTTCTCGTCCTTTTCTCACTAAAGCTTGTCTAATTTGCAACTATATACAGCATATCAAAATATCTTTCTTAAAAATCTGACTTTCTCAGTCATCACATCTAGTTTCACCAGATGTTAATGGGGTCTATTAGACGGTGTTACCTAGTGAGCCAAAAGGCATGACTGCCTGGACTCCATGCTTGTCACAGCTTCCCAAATGCTTAATAGTTAGGATTTGATGACATTATCCTAACCCCACTTAAAGGAGGGAAGCTTAGAATTAGTGGATGCAGGAAGCTCAGCAGGTTTTTTTTTTTCTTTTTATTTAAACTCAACCTAATATTCCGGTTGGGTTTCCCCAGAAGCAGCCCATGAAATGTGGATTTGAATGTAAGTCATTTATTTGGGAGGTGACCCCACAAAGCAGCATAAGGGAGTGACACCACAAAGTAGACATCTAAGCTCTACTGTACGCCTGCCCAGTACCTCTGGACTCTAAATAGTCCAGAATGTTAGGAACAATCGAGTCCTCGCCAACTGGTCTACCTCAAGAGCTTTCTGGTTCTCAGATATCCCTAACTCAGCCACAGGAGAGCAGTCAAGAACAGAGAGGTAATGAACCTGCAAAGTAAGGGTAGGATACATTTTTCCGTGATCTTACGGTACAAATGGCAAATCATATTCAAGTACAATGACCTTAAAAGATGTACCACTAATTTTTGTGTGTGTGTTTACTTTGTAAATTCCCTCATTTCATTTGGATTTCATTTGGAATGAAATCTAAACTCCCTGCCATGACCTGTGAGGTCTGTGTGACTTGACCTCTGCCTGACCCCCACTCCCACCTGGAGCTCTGCACGCCCACCCACCCCCATGCCCCACCTCAGCTCTAAGCTCCAGCACATTGGCCTCTTCACCCCTTGAACATAAGCGGCTTGTTCCACCCTGAGAGTACAGTTTTTACTCTGCCAAGAATATTCTCCTCACACTGAGCACAACTGACTTCTGCTCATCCTTTAGGTCTCAGATGAACTGTTTCCTTCTCAAGTCCTCTGACCAGCTTGACTTAGTTTCCCAGCTGCACTACACACACACACACACACACACACACACACACACACACACACACACACACTCACACACCTTCCTCTTGAAGCTCAATGCTCTTTGCCTTGTAGCAGCTTCATAATCTGACGTTGTTGTTCCCAAGGACTGTGGTAATTTTTAATTTCATGCTGGCTGTTTCCCACTCAGTAAATGGCCAATAAACATTTGTTGAATGAATGAATGAAATGACATTGGGCAAGTCCTCCCAAAATAATGTTCTGCGTAAACAGACTCTGCTCTACTCATACCACTAGTTGGAAGCCAAAGCACTGACTGAGGCCTTGGAGAGGGAGCAGAAGGACAGGGGCAAATCAGATGCTCCCAAAGCAAAAAACATGGGTGTTCTCAACTGGGGTCAGTGTGATCTGGCCCCACAGATTGTCCCCTGGACAGAGTATTGCTTTCTATGCCTTAAGCTTAGGGACAGCCAGCCTCATTTGGCAGCCACAAGTTCTTCAAATCCTTTCTAATCCATTTATATCTCCTGTCAGTAGTACCACATCTTCAAAGTAATAAGCTCCTTTAATTTTATAATCTGTGGTGTGAAGTGGTATTTCCTTTTATGTGAGTCCAATTGTCCTCACTCAAGAGTTTCAGAATATGGTGAAAAAA